CCTTTCAGCGTTTTTAGTAAACCTGTCACAAATAGAAAAGACTTTTGATATGATGCTGCTTTGGCTGAGTGTGTTACATGTAAGAACACATTTGGATTCTAAAATAAGTTCAGCAGTCTCTCAGATCTGTTGCTGTAGGAGGTTACTAGGATAACAGTATTTAAATTGTCATTAATATAACCGATTTATATATAATAGATTTAAATATTGTTGTTTTAATATATGCCGTATTTGTTAATAATAATGTGATTGCTTTTTATTTCAGGGGGAAAAACTGAATGTCAAAGTCGATATTATGGAAGACAAATTTCCCCCTAAAATGCCTGGAAAGGAATTCAGTATATGTCTTGTTTTCTACGAACACTTGCCTCAAGATCAAGCCGTGTATGGACCTGAAAAGAAACTGCTGGAATTGAGAGGTTTTGTCAATTTGGTAGGTGAAACATAGATTTCATTAGCCGAAAATTGCCGAATTGTGATGAATAATTAGCACCTTCCACAAAAGTGTAAGGACTGTGGACAATAAATTTTTTGCAACATCGACAGGCGCATTTTATTGTTTTCATATTCGCAATTGTTGTACATTTCCCTCAGATACATTTAATTAATTCAACATAAAATGACGTTTATAAAGTTTGTGAGGTGATTACTCTTGAATAATTAAACATAGCCTGAAGGTGATTACTTGCGGTGGGAGTTCAGCCCAAAAGCTAAATTTTCTGTAAATGATTGCGTGTCTGGAAGTTTACTGTGAACATTGGGTACGGCACATATCAGTTGATATGAATACAAATACATTTTTCAGAACGATTTGCAAAGCTTATTTGTTGATTGCTGTAATCTCTAATTGTACAATTAAGATATTACTTCGTTTATTTTCAGTAAACTTTTTCCAGCCAGATCAAAATGTGTCTCACCAATAAAAATGTGTATTATGTGTAAACTATTACCAGCTCTTGGATGAATTTTTTTTTTTTTTTTTTGAGAACTATGATAACACTTCTAACAAAATTTCCAATATAATCTGAAATACGTAAATTGTAAATACGTAAATTGTGCCGAGACAACTAATATTTTAAACCACCGATCAGTTTCTTCGTCACATTTGCATATCATGGTTCCGATTACTTCCCTTGCTTCATTCCTCCTTGAATGTACCATGTTTGGCTCTATGTACAGTGAACGAAACCAACTTGCAGCTAACTAGCAGTGACGTGTTGCTTTTTGGGATGAGTAGTAACATAGCTACACTAGTGATGTGCAAAATCGAATCAAAACAATTTGAATATTCGATTGTTGCAGTATAACTGAATTTTCGATTTTTTTTTCTGTGCATTAGAATGAAAAATTCGGTTTTAAGTTTTTCTTCTCGACAACAGATGGCACTAGGTGCACAACAATATTACGTAATATTGTAGGGTCATCCGCAATTGATGTTTAACTTTTTTCCTTTTTTGTACAAATATTTCAAATTTTATTTTTACAATTTTTCTTTAACCACAGTTTATGTCGAATATTACATTTAAGGGGAGCAAAATTCCACCCAACATTCATTTTTTTAAATTAAAAAATTATTCGTTTCACTTAGAGGAATGGTCATAAATATCTCTACGAAGTGAATGTTTCATTTGAATGTAAGGGAATTGAATGGCAGCTACTGTAATAATTCGGTTTCTGAAAATAAATTTTAGAAAATTATTTTCAGTTTTGTAACATTTTATGAATTGCAAAGAGTTCTTTAATCGTAAAAAATACTTGAGAAAATGTATTTATCATTGAAAGGAGAACAGGTGACGAATAGAAAGAAAATAACGTAAAAAGCCTTATGTATAAGTTGCAAAGATTTACGACAACTCCAGAATACACATTAGGACGAAAAAATATCGAGAACTTTAAATGTTACATTTTTCAAATACAAATAAACATTAACTGTTGTGAACGCAAGTGTTATAACTTCAGCCAAATAGGCCATTAATTTACTCGCTTCAGAAAAGTACTTTCGAACTGTTAACTTATGTCAGCATCATCATTAATTTATTTCTATTTAGAAGCTAACGGAAAAGAAAACCAAATATTAGGAATTCGAGTGATTGATTCGATTTCAAGCGAGGCTATTCTAAGAAACATCAATTTCGAGAATAATTCGATTTTTCCCACCGCTAAGCTACGCCGTCACTACGGAAGTGAGCATAAAGAAAGTGGGAGGCAGTGCTACCCTACCTAACATTTCTCTCCCCAGCCTAGCAATCTCCACAACTGCCTACTATTCATCGCATTATAGCCCATTCACCGTTACTTCCAACATTTCTGAAGCCCTGTTGAAGTTCTACTTTCGGGATATTCCTCCGCCTAATACAAAATAAAAGCTTAAGGGCCCTATGTACTGAAACGTGTTCTTTGAAATCGTTGTTTGCGCCTAAACGCGTGTCTCGGTAAATAAATGTTCTGGAAATACGCAGTTTTGCCAGAAAGGATTAAAAAAACTATTGTCTATATCGCTATCTATTTACTTTTATCGTGAAAGTGGTCAAATATCGCATTTTTAATGCTTGCCTATGAAATTTATTTAAGCGGTAAGAGAAAAGTACAGTTATACGCATGTAGTTTGGTGTCTGTACTTTCATCGCGTGTAATAAAACCCCACAGTTACACATCTAGTTTAGAAAGTAAAGCGTTAGGATGGAAACAAAGCACGCCTTGCGCGTAGGAGCGATGAGGCGCTAGGCCTGAGTGTTAGTGTCGCCCGTATCACTTCCTCGCTTCTTTATCTTGAACGCGCAGGTACATGAGACCATTAACCAAGTCTAGAAAATTACACCAAAAAGGACAATGCACCGCATTCATACGCGCTCAGTGTAATAACTTTTTGCATAAGAATTATTTCTTCCTAGGCAAAAACAACAAATCTATTTCCTCATTGTTTTTATTTTAATTGATTATAAAAGAAATATTAGAATTTTTAAGTAAAATATTATAAATAAATTTTCAGTACAACTACAAATAAGATACTTTGATGTGCTTTGATGTTAACACCAGTATAAATATTTTGTGATACATGCCATATTTAATAAACAACAAACCACGTCATACATGGGGTGAATTTTTTAATGGTTTGATTCAAAGTGTGTGAAGAAACTGCGAATTAACTAAACCTTTTCATATTGCGTGATGCCTTTTCGTTCTAGTCTCCTACCCAAGCTGCTGGCAACCGTCTGTGATCCCTGGAGGGGTGGGGAGTTGAGACCACTGGCTCGCAACACTAGCTCCTCAGTAAGTCTGTTTGTAAGGAAGATAATTCATACCTTCATGGGGCCGGGGTGGTTGAGCGGTTAGCCTGCTCGCCTCGCACCAAGGCGATCCGGGTTAAATCCCCTGCCGGATCTTCGTATGTGGGAATCGTGCCGGACGATGCTGTTGGCGGGTGGGTTTTCTCAGGGATCTTCCGTTCACATCGCCCCCCTCGTTCCGGTGCCACTCCAAACTCGCCTCAATCACCCTCGTCAGCTCTTAAGACCTCGCTGTTAGGAGCCGCACAAATCTCTTTATTCACTCTCTCATAACTGCATATCCTTCGCAGCGCGACAGTCAGTCGATGTGAACAATCTTAGACAACCCCCCTAAAGGCAGATAAAGAATACTACTTTTTTTTAAACTCCCTATCTAATAAAAACCTTTTCAAAATGTTTGCAGATTAGGGCACTGCCACTTCCATTGATGTAGTCTGGACAGACAAACTATTTGACATTTTTGAAAAACCTCGAACGACTACAGCAATATCATATTTCTACACTATAAAAACGTTTTGTGCGTTTTACAAACAAGCATTCGTTGTAAACAAGTTGTCAAATATTTTCCGTAACAATGAATATAAACTAACTCTTATCTATACAGCACATCGTTTCATGAATCGTACAAGTTGTTGTGTATTACCATATTTATAAAAACGTTGAAAGTCTACATTGCCTGCTTGTTAAATTTTGGTTTTAGTTTTACATTTCATGCAATAACATGCTTTGAAACAAAAAATATCTTGGCAACTTGTTTCCAAGTAATTTATTTCTAAAACGCACACATTTTTTGTGCATCCTGTCATTGTTGAATATAAGTTGCCGCCAAGCAAAATTATGTGCATACACCAAATTTCGACATAGAGACATATCTCCCTGACATATTTAGGGGTAGCAGCTTCTTCTTCCATCGGCAATCAGAACCAAAGAAGTAAAAAGTGGTAGAGAGGGCGTGCGAGCTGTACAGAAACACCCACCGTGTCAAAAGTTAAAATGCGTTTTTGCGAGTAGCACCATCATAAACAACACGTATAGGATTTGATGTTACAATGTGACGGTGGTAGCGCCACGATCGGTTTTTGCTCTGGCTATTAACCTTGGCGGAGGCCGGTGTCCCCTCTTCTATTCCTTGCCAAGCCCCTACCTACTTCCCCTAGCATGAGGCGTAACGATCTTTGATTTTATTTAATATTGGTTATTTGTATAATGTCTGGTATGCTCTAGTGGTTAGGGTACCTGGCTTTTACCCAGGAGGATCGGGTTCGATTCCCTATACTAGAAACTCAATCTTAGAACAATTGATTTCTTTTATCCTTTCTGTTTTTTTTTTTTTCAATTTCAACTTAAATACTTCTTTGTTACATTATAAATAATAGTCAGGGTATTTTGAAAAGTGTAAATTACTCATTAGCAGTCGTCGTAAATGCAACATTACATATTTAATTTTGTATCTCTTGATAATGCCCGGTATGACATAGTGCTTAGGAGACCTGGCTTTCACCCAGGAGGCTTGGGTTCGATTTTCGGGAATGGAAATTATAATGTAAATAATAATTGATTAATTTTTGCCCTTCTGGTTTTGTTTCAATTCTTACTTAAATACTTCCTTGCTACATTATCAGTAATAGTCAAGGTAATTGGCAAAGTGCGAATTACTCATTAGCAGTCATCGTAAATGCAACATTACATATTTAATATTGTATCACACGATGTCTTGGTATGGTCTAGTGGTTAGGTTACCTGGCTTTTACCCAGGAGGATCGGGTTATATTCCTGTTATTGGGAACAAAATTTTAAGAACTGATATATTTTATCCCTTATGGTTTTGTTTCAATTCCTATTTAAACACTTCTTTGCTACATTATTATCAATATTCAAGGTAATTTTGGAGAGCGTAAATTACTCTGTAGCAGTCATCGCAAATGCAACATTACATATTTAATATTGTACCTCTTGTATAACGTCAGGTATGGTCTAGTGGTAGCAGTCTGCCCTGAGATCCCGAGGCGCGCGGACGTATAGTGCACGCCAGTGCGTCGATACAAGTGAGTGTCTTCCACGCCGCGCAAATAGGCAATTACAAACAGGCCTAGCCTTACTGAGGTAATTAATACAACCACCTTCCACATCATTTTCCGACATGGAGTCACACAAGCCAAACACCAGAGTGAACACGCTTCGTGTGAAGTGCCGCACGAGCCCCTAGCTCTGGACGTACACAACTGGCTGGACGAGATGCTGTGCATACAAGAAGACGAACTTATTGCTGTCCAGATGGACGGTCACCAACGATGCATCTTCATAAAGCTGACTTCAATGCTATACTGTGAACGCATCATGCGACTGACAGCTGGTACATCACAGATCCGCACGTCCACTGGTGGGTCAATCAACGTCGACATCGACATAGATATCGACAACCTCAAAACTGTATGCGTTATTAACTTACCGGTGGAAGTTAAGAACGTAAACATTTTGAACGCCGTAGAGCATTATGGCGAAATCTTGTCATTAACAGACGAAATGTGGGCTTCTAATTACACATTCAAAGTTAAAACGGGAGTACGCGTTCTCAAAATTAAACTGACTAAAACATACCATCCATTAGAAGGACACACAGGATTCACCGTGTATTACGGTCAACCACAGTCATGCAGTGTCTGCAACACCGCGGAACACATGCGTGCCGAATGCCCCCACTTTACTGCGGGGCGCCGCTCCGGCCACGTGGACCTGGGCGCAGACGCTCGCAGCCAGTCAACACACCGTGACATCTGCCGGCAAGACAGACCCAACTGATACTCGCCCTCCAGGGAAAAGCAACAGTTCTGTGCACAAATCACCGGTTCAGACACCAATGCGCAAGACGGTACAGTGGATGGTTCGGAGAAGCTAGTATCACTCCCGATACACACATCGCCAGGGACATCCATTGTACCGCAAACATCCCTTATGGAAAATGTCCCCAATGGGACAGTCCATTTTATGGCACGCCTGCTACATCTAATTAATGGAGATGACACGCTAGAGGATGATGATATGACTGGGGTAACCACACACACACACATATCTTGACAAACAAATTACTAAAAAGAAAGGAGAAAGCGCAGAAACGCTTGACCACGGGCGTAAGGAAAAGAAGCCCCGCCATAGAAGCCGCAGCCCACGACGAGATGTCATCGTTCCTGAAAGCCCACAATCGCAACGTGCACATTCACTGGCGATTGCTCGTCAAGTAATTGAGTAATGTAAAACCGCGTCACATGGCACACCCACAACAGAGGACTAATGCTTTGCATCGCCGTGTATGCTCTCCATTAAGGCTAGTGTGATTACGATAGCAACAGTTAACATTTGTGCCATTGAAGCAGCGTACAAATTTCACGTCCTGTATAACTTGGTCTACGCCCATGCTATAGACGTTTTATTTTTGCAAGAAGATACCCAACCTCAGTTTCCGTATTTTAACAACTGCAATGTGTACACAAATGTAGGAACGAATAGTCGAGGAACGTGTATTATTACACGAAATGAATACCAGTTGACTAACGTTCGGACACAACCGTCAGGCCGCATAATCTTGGGGTCATTACTCAAGCCGCCCACGCCACCAAGCACTGAACCTGTTGAACTGGCGCTCTGTGCAAATGTTTACGCTCCTTCCGGTACACAGCAGAAAACAGCAAGAACAGAATTTTTCAGAACGGAGATATTACCCTTTCTAGACGGCGACAGGACTAACATTAAATTCGGTGGTGATTTCAATTGTGTTTTAAACCCCTCTAGACCATCGTGGTGGACTGTATCCGACGAACATGGCCCTGCAAGAACTCGTAACTGCGATCCAGAGGGGAGATGTGGTAGAAATTCTAAACATACAACGACCCCACTACACGTTTCATGCGCATTCAAGTACGAGGCTAGACATATTTTACGTATCTAGAAACAACAGACAGTCGGTTTGTTGTTATGATGTCATTCCCGCTGCCTTTACTAACCATTCTCTCCTGCTATGTACAATCGACTGTCCTCCAAGAACTCCGCTGCGTTGGCGGAATTATTGGCGGCTACATACGAGACTTGTGGGACAACACGAAGTGGACTCTGACTTCAGACAGTGCTGACTGTATTGGGTTTGACAGAAATCGCGCTATGCTGATGCGGCCGATTGGTGGGAACGCTGCGTCAATCCGGGCGTCCGGCGGCTGTTTCAGTTTCATGGAGCACGTTGCCGGCACGAGCAAACTTCAGTGTTATATTCCTACTAGCGGGCGTTGCGCGACCTTGACACCATGGCGTCGACAGGGACGAATGTGAGGGACACAGCGCGTCTATTCAAATAAAAAATTCAACACATACATCGCAATAATCTGGAACAGCGCATGCAATTTTTCCATACCTGCAATACCCTACAGCAAGAGCGCCTTAGCATTCAGGCTCTTGCGAGCGAACAGAAAATGTGTGCCAAACGACATGTTGATGCCATACGTACCTTAGCTGGAACAACTTTACGAGACACAGTGTCAATTGCGGCTGCCTTCCTTGACCACTACTCGCGCCTTTACTCGGAACAACCAATCGATAACGACGCCGGAGTTCCCTTTGTGCGCAGCATTACAGACCGTCTCAGTGATGATTCGAGTGATCTACTTCAGTGCCAAATCACGGATGAGGAGGTGGCATTAATCGTACAACCCACTTCTAAAAAGAAATCGCCGGGAATTGATGGCATTCCGTACGAATTTTACGTGCATTATTGGCTTGTGATCCAAGTGGAATTTTGCAACATTTTGCGAACAGTCATCAACAGGAACGCACTTTGTCGATCTCAAACTGGAGGCATTTTGATTCTGATCCCTAAGAAAAATCACCCCCTCCACATTACTGATTACAGGCCTGTTACTCTTATCTGCACGGACTATGAGATTCTTGCGCGCACCTTCGCAAATCGCTTGAAGCACGTCTTATCTGACATTATAGGACCTGAACAATGTTGCGCTGTGCGAAACACCTCTATCATTCAAGGCGTCGCAGTGTTGCGAGATGTTCAATTAATAGCCAAATCGACACCGGGACCGGTGTCTTTATTGAATATTGACCTTGACAAAGACTTCGATCGAGTGAACTGGAATTTACTTGACAGAATTATGCTACATGTAGGCGTCCCACCACCAATTATCGCCATTTTACAAACTCTGCATAGAGGTGCAACAGCACAGATATCTCTTAATGGTAGGTTGGGAGAAAGTTTTACCATTCAATCCTCCGTACGTCAAGGGTGTCCCTTATCCATGTCTCAATTTGTAGTGTACATTGAACCCCTCCTACGAACACTCCACTCGAAACTCAACGGTATCAGTGTTGGGACGCGGATGACGTGACGTGCATAGTGCGGCGTGAAGACTACATAGCTCGAATTAATGACACACTATCCGCCTTCACCCGCGCGGTAACTGCCCAAGTTAACTCTGCAAAGACAAAATCACTAGACCTGAGGCCTGAGCCACATGCTCTGCGACACGTGTCCCCATATGTAAAGACTGATGAACTTCGTACATTGCGAATAGAATTTATGCAAAATTCTGAGCAAATGATTAAATGCAACTGGGACTCAGTGGTGCATAAAGTACGCGGTAGCCTTCTAACTGCTCGTCTTCGTAACATCAGTACTATACAAAGAGCTTATATTGTAAGCACGTACCTATTGTCACAGCTATGGTATGTAGCGCGCCTATTCCCCATGCCAAAAGCAACCGAGGCACAAATACAGCAGTACATAGGGTGGTTCATGTGGCGTGGGTATTTATTCCGGGCGAATAGGGAGCAATTACTCCTTCCTGCAGACAGAGGAGGCTTGGGCCTTGTGGATCTGAAACTGAAAGCTAGGGCTTTGTTTGAGAAAACTATCATACAACAATTCACGTCTGAAAACCGCGAAGTCATGGCGCTTCATCGCGCAGTACGGACAAATGATCACATGATCCCTCGACATTACCTACAGGCACTTCAAGGCGTGAAACACTCTCGTTGAATTACCGGCCGGCGTAAGCGTCACTACGTGTCTACTATACAGACATCATCGCAGGACTGTGAATGTAATTTCTCGGGTGCAACTCAAATGGGCCAATTCGCACTGGGATACAATATAGAAAAATATAGCAGAATTAGAACTACCCTCCGCACTCCGAGCGTCTGCATATTCCTTTGTCAACGACTTAACACCCACTAAGATTCGACGTAAACGTATTTTCCTTGACGCTGATGACCGATGCGTCATATGTGATCTCCGTGATACAGCACTTCATCGAGTTACCAGCTGTATCTATTCCCGTCCCTCGTGGACTTGGTGTCGACGTCGCATTGCACGAAGACTTGACATGGCAGCTGATGACACGCGAGGAGACGCTCTGCTTCCTTGATTTGACAGCGTTACCTACCGTCAAACGGAGAGCGGTGGTCTGGCTACTCATGAACTTGATCGACTTTACTGTCAATACGCCGACACCCTTCCACTTACGTGAATTTGTTGACAGACTGCGCAGGGCCAGGTGGCTGATGGTGAAAGATAAAACACTGAACAAAAAATATGGGCATTATTTGTTTTTCTTTTAAAGTGTATCACTGAGTGTGTGTGTCTGTCGTAAGAACTTCATTTATAATAAATTTGTGACCAGGGTAAGGACATGTGCACTTGAGCCTCTGTCCTCTATTGTATTTCCTGTATTCTAAAGACAAAATACGCTAGTAATATAAAAAAATTTTAAAAAAATTACGTGGTTATGGTACCTGGCTTTCATCCAGGAGGCTCGGGTTCGATTCCCGATACTGGAAACATAATTTTAAGAACAATTTATGTTTGTTATCCCTTCTGGTTTTCCTCGATTCGCACTTAAATACTTCTTTGTTACATTATAAGTAATAGTCAAAGTAATTTGGAAAGTGGGAATTACTCATTAGCAGTCATCCTAAATGCAACATGCATATTTCATATTGTATCACTTTTATAACTTCCGGTATGATCTTGGGGGTTAGGGTACCTGGCTTTCACCCAGGAAGCTCGGGCCCGATTCCCGGTACCGGAAATATAATTTAGAAAACAATTCATATCTTTTTGCTCTTCTTGTTTCGTTTCAATTCTTACTTAAATACTTCGTTGTTATATTATCAGTTATAGTCAAATTAATTTGAAAAATGTGAATTACTCATTAGCAATCATCGCAAATGCAACATTACATTAAGATGTTACACGACGTGCACTCGGCCTATTCTTGCTTTCAACCATAATTATGTCTACATCAGTGGCAGCGGTGACTTTGGAAAAATTTGTCCATTGTGATGGGAGTCCTTTTGTATAATATTGCGAGCTGTAGGTGACGAGTGTTCTGGATTGTTACATGAGCTACGAGTCGGGGTTCTCTACCCTGGAGTTAACGTTCAATGGTTTATTTCACGACGACTTGGTGCTGCATTTAAGGCGAGTCGTGGAAGAGTGGTTTGATCTGAATGTGTTGGATTAATTTGTTGAACTTCTCCTTGAGTCGTGCATGGATAAGTACGTAGTTTTTTTCGGACAGGCTGTTGGCTTCATGTTACGAAATTTTGCAGCACGGCAATTCACCCTATATTGGCTGTTAGTTTGTTGAAATATGTTTCATGTAAAGTTTTATTGCTTGTCAGCCTCAGTCCAAGTCAACTACCCAAGTTCATTTGTAGTTTTTCGTCTCAGCGACGATTCACTTTTGTTAATATTGCCGCTCAGGAGCAAGATTATTGAGTGCGTAAGAGGAATATACATTGCATTTAAGCTTTTTAAATATAGGTTGAGACTTAGTATATTCGGCGGCGCTATCAAAGTCGCAATCCACGAGAGGAGGACAGGTCATCGCAATGCTGCTTGCTTTCTTAAAGCCCCCGCCTACATGGAATGTTTTCCCCGTTTGAAGCCAAAATTCGCAGAAGCGATACGGGCGACAATGACTCGCGCATCAGGTAAGTCATCGCCACTAACCGCAAGGCTCTAACTGACGCGTAGTGTTACCGTCGCACCGCGTGTAGGCTACCTGTGGGACTTCCAGCGGCGACCCTTTTATAGGCTGTTCATGGTAAACTAAGCACTTTTGTAAGCTCTGCTAAAGATCTACTTGTACGCACGTTGTGTGTTCTTCCACCTTACGTAAAATTAACATTGCCACGGGCCTCAGCACTTTACTCATGCATTGGTCAAGTGGAACTGAAAAATTATTAGAAGAGTAAATATTCTCAAAATCTGCTTATTTTCACACTTCTACGCATCAAAATAACATAAAGGCAAAAAAATAATTTCAGTTATCAAAAAATGTTTACCTAACACTTTTTATTCGACGTTAAGTTATGGAACCACTTTCAATTCTTCGTTCCTTACTTTACTGGGCGCATGTTACTCGGCGCGCCCGTCAAAATTCATGCAGTTGGAAGTAGTGACTATTTTCTAAGGTTAATTTTAAAAGTGCTCACTTATCGCGAACAGGCTTTACTTTGTTAGTGGTAAGTTTATAGGGGGCCATTCTGGCGCATATAGTTTGAGACACAACGCTTCCGAAAATTCTTTCTCATCCCTTTTGGAGGACTCTAAAATGGTATTTGTAATGTCGATGACGTTTTGAAATCCGTCAGCAGTCCTCGACTGAAGTGTGTGTTCTTTCGTTGACAAGCACAATGCACATTAATAGTTTCGCCGAAAAATGTGAATTTATAATATTCTGTAACGCAGTTCAAGCGCATATAGGCAGTAGCTTTAAACTTTCTCTGTTATTCATGTGAACATGTTATTCAGAAACATACGTCTTCGCATAAGATTGCTGTTGAAGCTTTATAGTTGTTTAGAAATTATATTTGCTGTTTACGGTTAACTCATTACTTTCGAAGTCACCCTTTTAAAAATGTCAACTCACCTATATGCTTATACTAGCGACCCGACCCAGCCTCGCTCGGGTGCGATTTACAAATATGCTGTTGTGTAGGTTTACAGCTAGTGCACACACTAAATGCATAAGGTAACTAACATAGGATTAATACTGTGTTGTTCACAAAGTCTTCGTAAGTGAACCCTTAAAATACAAAAATTATTACTGTAGGGCATCCTTAAAATATAAACATATGTTGTAGCGGAATTTTCTGTAGACCTTTTTGAGCTCTACAATTCTGTAGCACACTCATTTGGTGTATCTCTTGTGGTTTAGTCAACGTAAGCCATGTAAGCGCCCGGAAAGCAGTTTTTTCCGACTTTATTATAAAACGTCGACATTTCTCTACTATCGTTACATTAAATATTAATGTTCTATATGCTTGAACCTTCCTCGAGAAATTCTCTTAATGAGAGTGTAAACCGGATCAAAATCCATCAAGTAGTTTAGAAGCCTTAGCCGAATACACAGACACACGCGGCCGGGCGACTTTGTTTTTTACCACCTACGTTATATTTTAACGACTATACTAGCTAGTATGCGGCCAGTAAAGTTGAACACGTGACCATATCTTAACGTTGAATATAGTGTTAAATAAACATTTGTAAATACAGAAATGATTGCTTTTGCTTTATATTTATTGATGCATACAAGTGTAAGAATTAGCACATTTGAAAAATATGTAATGTTAGTTTTACATAAGGCGGAAGAATACACAACGTGCATACAAGTAGACCATGATTAGGGATTTCGAAAGCGTTCAGTTTAGCGTGAACAGCCTATAACCGTTATTATTTTATGCCAATAATTCCAAGAAAATGATTCCCATAGAAATTTTATTTCTGATTTTCTATAGCAAAATCGATTTAAATTAAACGACTGTTTAACATTTCAGTGATTCCATGTGCTTTGATTTTATATAAGAATATTGAATAGATATTATTGCAGTTTATCCAAATTAACTTTGGGATGTGCACACACACCCGACCGGAGATTATTGGTCTTGTAATTAATCATCGTCAACAAAAACGTCCAGTTTCCTTTCTCATAATATTTGTGCTGATATAATTTATGATGATATTCGAGATGTAAATTTTGCATGCGATTTAAAATTTTTCTTGTCATTCCATTGAAGGATTAATTGCATGAAATATTAAGAACTTTTACACTGCTATTGAAGGTGTGTTACTAATGTCACGATATCCGAATTCTTGACAAATGAAAACAGGAAATTCTTAAGAGTATGCAGCGAGATTGTAACAGGTATGAAAAAAAATTATAAATGTAAGCAGTAGGATTTGGTTTCGTGTCGTGCAAAGGAATGGGGATTCGGATTAGGATTCGGCCGGCCGCCATGTTGTTACATCACCCATCCGCCAACTTTTTTCCCTTTTCCCCTCAAAATTTCTCTTTTCCCTTAAAATCGTCTAAATTTCCCTAAAGTGCCTTTTTTTTTTAGTTTCCCTTTTATTCCATAAAAATTTCCTTTTTTAACAATTTTTCCCCGAGCAGGCGACAGGGATTCACGACCGAGGATCAGGGAACAGTGACCTTTGACCATTGACCTTTGACCTTGAATACAAAACCCAATAAATCCACAAAACTTAGAAAGAATTCCACAAAAATACCAAAAACTTTAATTTAAAAAATTATTAACAAATTCATTTTATTTTTCTAAAATTTTAAAATTATTTCAAAAACTTAACTTTCCTATGGTCACCCCTCACTCATACCCATTCCACCATATTGGTAGGCGACTCTCATCTTGGTAGACATCATCCATCCATCATATTTGAATCCAGTGACCTTGACCTCATGATCTTGAATGACCTTGAAAACAAAAACTCTAGAAGAATACATAAAAGTCTACAAATATATAATGTTACTAACTACCACCATATTAGGTGCAGACTACCTAGACCTTGACCCCATGAACTGGAATGACCTGGAAAACCAAAACTCAAGAACATATACATAAAAATCAACAAGCATATATCATTAATAACTGCTACCCCCTATTAGATACAGACTACCTTGACACCATGAACTTGAATGACCTTGAAAACAAAAATACGAGAAAAACTTAAAAGTCAACAACCATATGTCATTACAGATAACTACCGCCATATTGGATGCAGACTACCGTAATTTTCACTCCGTGACCTTGAATGACCTTGAAATAAAATACTCGAGAAAAAATCATAAAAGGCAATAAGTGTATAATGTATTTATTGTATATTAGATGCATACTACCTTGACCCAATAACCTTTAATGTCCTTGAAAACAAAATCTCCAGGAAAAATACATAAAACTCAGCAAACATATGACGTTACATGCTACTAACACCATATTAGATGCAGATTACCATGACCATGAATCTGTGACCTTGAATGAATTTGAAAACAAAAACTCGGGGGAAATATGTATGCAAAGAGGCAGAAGCTAGCCGATACCATATATCTTTTACAGCAGACGTCAAACTAAGCCTCTCAGCCTACCTCCCAACTGCTCATAATATACGAGTATGCTAGCCCCGTAATATTAGACTGGCATTGAACCAACCATACTGCACTATTAATACAGTGTGCAGACACCAATCCACCCAGTCATTCACAATCTTTACACCAATCTAAACAATCATTCACAATCTTTATGTCAATCCACCCAATCATTCACAATATTAACACCACCCACAAAATCATTCGCAATATTAAGCCAATCCACCCAATCATTCACAATATTTAAACCAATCCACCGCAATCATTCGCATTCTTTACACTAATATACCACAATCCTTCACAATCTTTCACAATCCAGTAGTGGTGGTGGTGGTAAAGGATTACTGACGATTGATGGAAAAATTGCTAAAGATTGATCGAATGTTTGGG